GAGAAACACCGGGGGCTGAATGATCATTTCAGAGTTATAAACATCTGTGAAACGTGCGGCAGTGAAGTGGTTAATGGTCCGGGTCCTACGTGCAGGAATGCACGGCTTAGGAGTTAGATGGGGGAGGGTGAACTCAAACTGGGCTGGCATGTGGTCTGAAAAGACATTATCACCAATAACAAGATTATTAACAGTCACATCATGAGTTAAAACAAGGTCCAGTGTATGTCCACACTCTTGGGTGGGACCGTTTACATGCTGAGTTAAATTAAATGAGTCCAATAAATCTAAAAAGTCCTTAACCAAGGGCTTCTCAGGACAGCACACGTGCAAATTAAAGTCCCCAACAATGAAAACATGCTCATATTTTGGTGTGATTTCAGCCAAGAAGTCAGAAAACTCATTTATGAAGTCCTTAGATCGAGGTGGGCGGTAAACGAGTGCAAATAACGTCGGAGGTGAATGTCCGAGTTCAAAGACGCTCAGCTCAAAGCTGGCGAGGGAAACTGGGATGGGCAGTTGTTTACAGTCAAAAGTTGATATGAATATTGTTAATAATCCACCACCGTGCCGGCCTGATGGCCGCGGGGTGTTAAAATACAAACAGTTCGGTGGCAGTAATTCCGTCAAGGCACTGGACTCACCCGGAGACATCCAAGTCTCTGTGATGCACAGAAAGTCCAAATCGTGCTCTTGAAAGTAATCCCTGAGGATAAAAGTTTTGTTGGTAACAGATCTTGCGTTGACAAAACACATCCGGATATTGTCTGAAGTGGAGCTAGCAGCGGTGGAGTTAGCGTGCGCTAATGGCCGCAGGTTTTCAATAACAGCCCCTGCAGGTCGGTCCGAGCTGCGCAACGACTGACAACTAAAGCTGGTTACCTGGTCCGGGCACACAGGAGAGGAAGATGCAGCGCGCAGAGCTTTCAGCTTCACCAGCTGACCAGCACGTTTTCCCCGGCGTCTGAAGCGAGATCTCCGGGCAGGGAGGTGAGGAGCGCAGCGAAGGTAAGCTGGCACGTCCGCCAGCAGGGGGGGAGGGGTCCAGAGGTACGCTCATATTGTTCCAAATAAGCGACTTCAGTGACAGAAAAATGAAGATTCAAAAGTTGTTGTCTGTCATACACCAGCAGAGAGTTGATGTCACAGATGAGAAATGCAAGAAACAAAAATAATCCGAACACCATCAGCAGAGGTGGATTGCAAGCCATGTACACGGGCGCCATCTTACCAGAAGTACAGACAGCCACACATACAGACAGACATACATACACACATACAGACAGACACACACATATACACACATACAGACAGACAGACACACAGACACACACACAGACCACACACACACAGACAGACATACAGACACACACACACACAGACCACACACACATACACATACAGACAGACACACATATAGACAGACAGACACACATATAGACAGACAGACACACGCACACATACAGACAGACACACACACTCACA